GGTTTGACAGAATTGAAAGATCGAGTACTGTCCTCGTGGGTTGTGACTACAGCAGTTAGAGTGGAGGACTCCTCCACTCTAAATGTTCTTGGGCTTTTTTCCAATCCTCTAGGTTTGTCTCTGGGAACCCAGTTATTAATTTATTTCATCCATCCCAGACTCTGCCTTCCTGCCCCCTTGGCCCTCCCTACCCTCCACTTTGTATTTGTTATTCCTCATCCCTCATTATATGACCAAGTATCTTTTTTTTTCACATTTCAAGTATTTCTCTTGAAGTTTTGCTAATCTTAGTACTTCTTCATTTTCTTTTCTCAGTTAGCATTCTCTCTCTTACTACGTTTAAAGCCTCCCAACTTCTTTCTGGTGTCTGCTGAAAGTGTCCACAGGCTAGGATGTTAGATAAGGTTAGGTCAGGTTCTAATAGGTTCAGTATATTCTTGCTTCCATTTTCGTTTTCAGTTTCATGCAAATAGTATCTCCAGGAATTTTGGTTCAGATCCATAAGTTACTTCTGGTGGTAACTGTCTCCTCCACCTTTACCAATAATATTTGAAAGTGCTTAATCTTAATTAGATATAATACTCGTACAGTATTACCTTTTCTTAAAAAATATATATATTGCCATCAAGAATGATGTGAATCTGTGATAGTCATCTGAAAGTTTAATGTTTAATTCTTTCACATCACCATCAGCACAGCAGGTGTGGGTGGTGTTGAATCATCATTAAATCATTCTATGTGTTTCGGTTTAAGGTACAGTAAGTGACTGCAGCCCTAAAACATACACCCAAAATTCCGGGACCCTTAACTGCACATTACAGATCTGTGGCTAACTTTGCTGTGCACAAAATATTTTGGTCTCTAAATTTTAAACTTACCTTCTAATTAACTTGTATACAAATTAAAAGAAAAACACAGTATAAGACTGCAGGAAACCTGGGATCACCTAACAATCTCACTAGTTTACTTCACAGAACGATTAACCACCCAAATGCTAACCTAATCTAACCTCATCCCCACAAATAGCATTAAGGTGGTTAATCTAGATATAAGTCAATGTTGGGGTGAGATTCATCAAATCTGAACAACCATTTTGACCTGCAGTATCCCAGTAACTAATGGAGGTTTGTCCTCTGTATCTCAAGATTATTCCATATATTTTGGGGTTTTCAATGTGAATTTCCATTACTCCTTTTTATACCAGGGGATGCCTGTACAGTATTTCACTAACTCACTTTTTATTGTGACAGAGGAAGGTGAGGTCGGGGAAGTAGACTGAGTGGACCGACCAACAAAGATGCATTAGAGAAACTGTCAAAAGTTCACCACTTCCTTCACTCATCCTGCAGTGGCCCAAGATAAACTCATCTATTATCAAGGTAAATCATATAGCATGCCATGTCCAGTATGTTCACTTGTGTGTTGTTACATGTTTTCCAGAAGGTTGGTTCATGCAGAATACCTCTTCTTTAACATATTTATTAGACATCTCACTTTCCCTCCAGATTTACACCTATCTTCACACACCTCATATCTTACTTTCATCCAGTACCTTTTAAATAATTGTCTTCATTTGATATTACCCTTTAAAAGCATAATAACAACTGAACACTCCAGGACACTTACTTTCCTATGTGATTGCTGGAGCATTGGTGGGTGGAGAGAGGCACTGCACTTTGGCTAGTCTGACATGCTTAATATTAAAGTAGAAATATGTACAGTACTGTACAGTATTACATCAAACATAATTACACTAAACTTAAATTTACTGTACTGTATTGTGCTGTACTGCAAATGAAATAACTTACAGTATTTATGCCATGGCAATTTGATTCATAACAAATATTTTTACTTACTTTATCTCAAACATATTTAGAGGGCCCTCGTAATGTGAGGCCCTAAGCTGTAGCTTACTTACCTTGTTCCTAAATCCAGCACTGACTGGATGCCATCACATTATCTGGCAGTTGGTGGGAGACTGGTGTTGCTCCACGCTACCAATTACAACTCGGCATGTGCACCGGTAATTCAGACTGAGTCCGACTTTAGGGAGTTTTACTACAATGTGGGAATGAACCCATCTCAAATGTAAACTCGGTGAAATACCTTGGACTAACTCTTGACTTACTCCACCTGAAGAATAAATTATAGATAATATAATAAGTAAAACTAATGTTAGGATAAACAATTTGTTTATGGAAATTCCATTTGCCTCAGCTGATGCACATAGCAACCTTTGCTTGGCACTCATACAAGGTCACTTAGACTATTCCTGATCATCATTGCACTCTGCCTTAACACAGAAGCTAAAAGCAAAATTAAAATTTATTTAAAACAAGGCAGCGAGGTTTACTCTTGACATGAATGCAAGAGATCACATTGCTCTCAGAGTCTCACAATCACTGAAAATGCTAAGTGTGACAGATAGAGTGAAGCAACTGAGTCTGAATCACTCTTATAGAATATTCAACAGACTGTGGCCAGACTATTTAACACAAAATTTTGTAAGGATTAGGGATATGGACCGGCACGGCACTAGAGGGAGGAACATAATTTTTGATATTCAGTACTGTACTGTACCTGGTGTTTGCAGTCTAGCAAAAACACTTTCTTCTTCACAGCTAATAAAAGACTGAAACAAGTTTCCAAAACTTCAAAACCATAACAGATGAAGCTGTTTCATATTAACAAAATAGTATATTGTTGAAGTGATCTGCCAACCTCAGTTAGTCAAAGTGCAATGTAATGCTTGTTAAATTTATCAAAAACTTTCGCTATTTCTCCTGTAGACATACTATTTCTGATTAGAGACCGAGCCTCAGCAAAGGACCCTACTATAAATAAGTATCTGATGGCTTTTGATTAGTAAGTCTGTGACTGTACTTATCATTAAATCTATATAACTATTAATATCATCTAACACAGAAGTGAAGAACAAGGGACAGACTGATGACAGAACTTACATCACCACCACCCACCAGATGACTGAGGCTACATCACCACCACCACCACCGATGACTGAGGCTACATCACCACCAACATCACTTGACTGAGGCTACACCACCACCGACACCAGATGACAGAAGGCTACATCACCACCAACACCAGATGACAAACGGCTACATCACCACCGACACCAGATGACAGAAACACCACCACCAACACCAGATGACAGAAGGCTACATCACCACCAACAGCAGATAACAGATGGCTACATCACCACCACCAACACCAGATGACAGAAGGCTACCACCACCAACACCAGATGACAGAAGGCTACATCACCACCAACAGCAGATAACAGATGGCTACATCACCACCACCAACAGCAGATAACAGATGGCTACACCACCACCGACACCAGATGACAAACGGCTACATCCACCGACACCAGATGACAAACGGCTACATCACCACCACCACCACCAACAGCAGAACAGGAGGCTACATCACCACCACCACCAGATGACAGAAGGCTACATCACCACCAACAGCAGATAACAGAGGCTACATCACCACCACCACCAGATGACAGAAGGCTACATCACCACCACCAGATGACAGAAGGCTACATCACCACCACCAACAGCAGATAACAGAAGGCTACATCACCACCACCACCAGATGAAAGAAGCTACATCACCACCACCACCACCAGACAAAGGCTACATCACCACCGACACAGATGACAGAAGGCTACATCACCACCACCACCACCAACAGCAGATAACAGAAGGCTACATCACCACCACCACCACCAACAGCAGATAACAGAGGCTACATCACCACCGACACCAGATGACAGAAGGCTACATCACCACCACCCACCAACAGCAGATAACAGAAGGCTACATCACCACCACCACCACCAACAGCAGATAACAGATGGCAACACCACCACCACCACCAGATGACAGAAGGCTACATCACCACCACCACTAGATGACAGAAGGCTACATCACCACCACCACCAGATGACAGAAGGCTACATCACCACCACCACTACCAACAGCAGATAACAGATGGCTACATCACCACCAACACCAGATGACGAAGGCTACATCACCACCAACAGCAGATAACAGATGGCTACATCACCACTAACACCAGATGACAGAAGGCTACATCACCACCACCACCAACAGCAGATAACAGATGGCTACATCACCACCTACACCAGATAACAGAAGGCTACATCACCACCAACAGCAGATAACAGATGGCTACATCACCACTAACACCAGATGACAGAACTACATCACCACCACCACCAACAGCAGACAACAGATGGCTACATCACCACCAACACCAGATGACAGAAGGCTACATCACCACCAACAGCAGACAACAGATGGCTACATCACCACCAACACCAGATGACAGAAGGCTACATCACCACCAACACCAAGATGACAGAAGGCTACATCACCACCAACAGCAGATGAGAAGGCTACATCACCACCAACAGCAGATAACAGATGGCTATCACCACCACCACCAGATACTGAGCACATCACCAACCCAGATGAAGGCATCACCACAGCGATAACAGATGGCTACATCACCACCACCACCAGATGACTGAGGCTATCACCACCAACAGCAGATAACAGATGGCTACATCACCACCACCACCAGATGACAGAAGGCTACATCACCACCAACAGCAGATAACAGATGGCTACATCACCACCTACACCAGATAACAGAAGGCTACATCCACCAACAGCAGATAACAGATGGCTACATCACCACCACCACCAGATGACAGAAGGCTACATCACCACCACCACCAGATGACAGAAGGCTACATCACCACCGCCACCAACAGCAGATAACAGATGGCTACATCACCACCAACACCAGATGAGAGGGCTACATTACCACCAACACCAGATGACAGAAGGCTACATCACCACCAACACCAGATGACAGAAGCTACATCACCACCAACAGCAGATAACAGATGGCTACATCACCACCAACACCAGATGACAGAAGGCTACATCACCACCAACAGCAGATGACAGAAGGCTACATCACCACCAACAGCAGATAACAGATGGCTACATCACCACCAACACCAGATGACAGAAGGCTACATCACCACCAACACCAGATGACAGAAGGCTACATCACCACCAACAGCAGATAACAGATGGCTACATCACCACCAACACCAGATGACAGAAGGCTACATCACCACCACATATTACAGTAGCACCAGCTCTGTTAGACCACATATTACAGTAGCTCCGTTATATACATATATACACACTAGCAGAAACGTGTGGTGGATAAACCACGTTGTTCATCGTAGTTTCTCGACTAAATAAGTCTTTATTTTATGTTCATTATTTTGTCACTCGGTTGAGTCATTTATTTGATCAGATTTAACTTGTATTTGTTTATTTTTGTACATACTGATATATTTGTTCCATTGTTTGTTTGTTAATATATTCTGTAATTAAAACTACTGCATGTATTTCAATATACCCCATAGTAATGAGGTGATGATTTTGGTGGGATCTATTCCTCGGACCTGTAATACAAAGAGAAGTTGAATTTGTGATTTTGTTAAACCCCAAGAGGCCAAGGGTCGTAACAAACATACACATACAGTATATACAGGAGAGTATCTACTTTTAGGGCAAGTAGATTATCGACTTTTCGGGGAAGTAGATTTTCGAATTTTGGGGGAAATATTACCTAATTTTGCCAAGTAGATTATCATAGAAAACGGGAAATTTGTATCATAAAAAATGGGAAATATCTACTTTCCGGGAAAGTTGGTTATCTACTTTCGCGAAAAGTAGATAGATTTTCTATTTTTCGGGAAAGTAGATTATCGACTTTTCGGGGAAGTAGATTTTCGAATTTTGGGGGAAATATTACCTAATTTTGCGAAGTAGATTATCATAGAAAACGGGAAATTTGTATCATAAAAAATGGGAAATATCTACTTTCCGGGAAAATTGGTTATCTACTTTCCCGAAAGTAGATAGATTTTTTACTTTTCGGGAAAGTAGATTATTGACTTTTCGGGGAAGTAGATTTTCGAATTTTGGTTGAAATATTACCTAATTTTGCGAAGTAGATTATCATAGAAAACGGGAAATTTGTATCATAAAAAATGGGAAATATCTACTTTCCAGGAAAGTTGGTTATCTACTTTCGCGAAAAGTAGATAGATTTTCTTCTTTTCGGGAAAGTAGATTATCGACTTTTTGGGGAAGTAGATTTTCGTATTTTGGGGGAAATATTACCTAATTTTGCGAAGTAGATTATCATAGAAAACGGGAAATTTGTATCATAAAGAATGGGAAATATCTACTTTCCGGGAAAGTTGGTTATCT